ACAGCAGTGTAGTATTCCATTGTGTAGATGTACCACAGTTTTATAATCCACTCATCTGCTGATGGGCATTTAGGCTATTTCCAAATCTTAGCTATTGTAAATTGTGCTGCTATGAACATAGGGCTGCATATATCTTTTCTGTTTGGTGTTTCTGTGTAGAGGGCCGCCTGGGAGGCACCTAGGCATTTTCTTATTATTGTCAGCTGAACTCAGAGCATAGGCAGCCACGCCCTGGGAACATGCTTCCCCAATAAGGCTGGACATGTTAATCAGGCAGGGGCGGAACTAGATATGTAAATCTAGGCCTTTAAAATAAACCTGCTGTGTGGCTCAGCCGCCTTTGCCGCCTCTCCATCAGAGAGGATGGCGCCCACCTGGCCCCAGCTTAAAATCTATTTCTGCATCTTGGTCTTTTCTTTAATTTCTTAATCCCCAGCTCCTCCGCTCAAGAACCTGTCATTTTCCCGTGCGGGTCGCGGGAAACAGAAACAGCCCACCACATTTCTGTTTTTTGGAGATATATTCCTAGAAGTGGTATTACTGGGTCAACTGGCAATTCCATTTTTAATTTTCTGAGGAAACTCCATACTGTCTTCCACAATGGCTGCACCAGTCTGCGTTCCGACCAGCAGTGCACGAGGATTCCTTTTTCTCCACATCCTCTCCAGCACTTGTCATTTGTTGATGATAGACATTCTGGCAGGTGTGAGATGGTACCTCATTGTTGTTTTGATTTGCATCTCTCAGATGATTAGTGACTTTGAGCATGTTTTTATATGTCTCTTGGCTTTCTGTATGTCCTCTTTCAAAAAGTGTCTATTTAGGTACTTTGCCCACTTTTGATTGGATTATCTTTCTTTTGTTAAGTTGTATGAGTTCCTTATAAATTTTGGAGGATAAACCCTTATTGGAGATAACATTGGCAAATATGTTCTCCCATGTAGTGGGCTTTCTTGTTGTTTAGTTGATGGTTTCTTTTGCTGTGCAGAAGATTTTTATTTTGATATAGTCCCATTTGTTTATTTTCTCCTTAGTTTCCATTGCCCTAGGACAGCGGTTCTCAACCCGTGGGTCGCGACCCCTTTGGGGGTGGAATGACCCTTTCACAGTGGTCACCTAAGACCATCGGAAAACACATATTTTCGATGGTCTTAGGAACCGAGACACCACTCCTCTATCCTTCTCCAGGCAGGTCCGCCCACATGCAGATACGCCCACATACGAGTACCCGGGGTGATGACATCATCGCACTAACCCCATCACATACAAATACAGGTGTATGTGACAGGGTGGCGCCATAATGAACTTATGCAGACCAGTCACACATGTGCAGAGAGCAGCTACTGTGTAGAAAGCAGCTGCTATGTTGAAAGCAGCTACTCTGTTAAAAGCAGCTACTGTGTTGAAAGCAGCAGTACTGGAGGTAAAATGACACTTCATGAATTATAATTAATGGGTAAATGTAAAATCATGTACTGTAAAATCATCAACTACTGCAAAAAAAATATCTGTACCATGGGAACTTAATCTAGATGCTGATCGGTCTTTTTATATTCAGCTGTGGTTGATGTGAATACTGCCCCTTGTGATAGTAACAGGTATGTAAAAAAAACAACACAGAGAATGGTAAATCATAGGAAACTTTAATGAACTGTATTGACCAGCCATGGGCAAACTACGGCCCGCGGGCCGGATCCGGCCCATTTGAAATGAATAAAACTAAAAAAAAAAAAAAAAAAAGACCGTACCCTTTTATGTAATGATGTTTACTTTGAATTTATATTAGTTCACACAAACACTCCATCCATGCTTTTGTTCCAGCCCTCCGGTCCAGTTTAAGAACCCATTGTGGCCCTCGAGTCAAAAAGTTTGCCCACCCCTGGTATTGACTGAACTATGCCATGTGTCATCTTTTGTATTATTAAAGCTATTGTTATATATTATTTTCATTAGCAAACCATCCCATGACAATGGATCGTGTAGAGAAGAACGTTGAGAAAAGAAAATATAGTGAGGATTTTTTACAGTATGGTTTTACCTCAATAATTACAGCAGGAATTGAGAAACCGCAATGTGTTATTTGTTGTGAAGTTCTATCAGCCGAATCTATGAAGCTGAACAAACTAAAACGCCATTTTGATAGCAAGCATTCGAGCTTTGCCAGCAAGAATACCAACTATTTTAGAAGCAAAGCTGATGGACTCAAGAAAGCCAGACTTGACACTGGTGGCAAGTACCACAAACAAAACGTAGCAGCCATTGAAGCTTCATATTTGGTGGCACTCAGAATCGCCAGAGCTATGAAACCTCACACCATTGCTGAGGATTTACTGTTGTCAGCAGCCAAAGACATTGTTCGAGTTATGATCGGAGATGAATGTGTTACGAAATTGAGTGCAATTTCCTTATCTAACGACACTGTCCACAGAAGAATAGATGACATGTCTGCTGATATTCTTGATCAGGTAATCCAGGAAATTAAATATGCTCCACTTCCAATATTTAGTATCCAGCTTGATGAATCTACAGACGTTGCAAACTGTTCACAGTTACT